GGGAAAAATCCCTACCTGGGGAAACAACCTTTCTCGGAGAGGTGACCTTGATTAAAACACATAGCACCAAGAAGGTGAGCAAACATTAAGAACAGTATGTCATATACGCCAGGTCCCTTGAAACAGCAAGGATGGACTGGCTCCTGGCAGTATTCATCCTCCCACAGTCACACAAAAAACACAACTAAACTACAGGATGATCATCATTCAGAACCACTTGAAATTTAGTTGAATGGAAGTCATACAACTAAAAATATAAAAAAGAAGCCACATCAAGACTGGCAGGAGGGGCAGAGATACAGAACATGCTGGTCCCACACTCACATGTGGTAGACAAAAATCAGGAGGGATATTTTGGCTGCAAAAGACTCTTTGAGGATTGATGGTTCCCAGCCTCACCCCAGACCCCCAAGTCTAGGGTTCCAGTACCAGGAAGAGAAGTCCCAATAACTTTTGGCTGTTAAAACCAGCAGAGATTGTGGTTGAGTGTAATGGAGGCAGCTGGAGTCGCAGGCAGTTCCTCTTAAAGGGCTCATGAACAGACTTACTTGACTTACTCCCTCTGAGCCTCAGTGCTGGAGCACGATCTCCAAAGGCATCCAGGATGTATGGGGAGGAACTAAAGAGTCTGGCATCAGGGTGAGAACCAGAGGGACCGCTTTCACCCAGATAGAAGTGCTGGCAGAAGTCATTGTTCCTTTGCCGAACCCTTTCCCCACAGAGAAGGCAGGCAAGCACCATAACTGAGTCTCCGTCACCTGACTATCACTGTTTGCCTCACCCTGGTGATTCCCTGAGACCCCACCCCACAAACTTGCAGGTCTACCCAAGCTTTTTCCAGTGGGTTTTCCTAAGTCATCCATTGGTCCATTCACATTTATTGAGCACTGCACTATTTTCCCTGGGCTTCTGTAACAAAGTTTCAAACTGGGTGGCTTAAAACAACATATTCATTGTTTCACAGCACTGGAGGCTAGAAGTCCCAAATCAAGGTGTCCGCAGGGACAGCAATCTGTGGCTCTCCTGGGCTTGGAGCTCTCTAACTCCAATCCCTGCCTTCACGGTCACATTGCTTCCTTACTGTATTTATGTCTTCACATGGCTGTCTTATAAGGACACCAGTCATATAGGACTAGGGGCTACCCTACTCCAGTATTAACTTCTTAACTAATTTCCTCTGTAATGATTCTGTTTCCAAACAAGGTCACTTTTTGAATACCAGAGATTAGGACTTCTCACAGATATTTGGGGGGATATGTTTCAATCCATAATGAGCACCTATGATGTCACAATACTGTGCAAGAGGCTGAACAAAACGCAATCTCTTCCTGCAAAGTGATTGCAGATTTGTGGAGAAAAAGACAAGTAAATAATTTCAAATGTGCAATGATGGTGTCAGTATACAAAGTGCAATTAGAAAACCGAAGAGAGATCCTTAATGCAGACTAGAGTGTGTATGTATCTGTCAGGGGGGTCAGAGAAGATGTGTCACCCAATAACAATAGAGACAGGATGGGAAGAAAGCTTTTGAGAAAACAGGGTGTGCAAAGCCCCAGAAGCTGCTGCATTGCTAAGTGATTCCTCAAGGTGATTCTCCAGCCCTCATACCTGCAAGAGAAGCCACAACCCTCAGGCATGCTCTGAGACACACGCGAGGAGGAACCCATGCTGGGGAGGAGCAATCAGCAACCAGACCAAGAACAATGGTGCTTTGGTTGGCATCACTCTGCTCAAGTCATGTTAATCTTATCTTTTATGAGCCTACAAACTTTTTATTTTATTTATTATGGGACAAGATTTCTTTTATTTGAATACTAGAGGCCTGGCGCATGAAAATTCATGCACTGAATGGGGTGTCCCTCAGCCCGGCCTGCCCCCTCTCAGTCTGGGAGCCCTCAGGGGCGGGAGGTGACCTGGCGATCAGGGGAAGGTGATGCCCCATCACACCTCTGCTGCTGCCACAGCTGGCAGCACAAGCCTTGGGTAGCTGGGGGGCTAAGGGGACTGGGGGACTCTGGAGGCAGGCACGCAAAGCAGCCGGGCCCGCCTGGCCTTGCCTCGCACCTGCCACCCCAGCGGGGTTGAGGATACTAGGAGCTGCCATCTTGTGGCTGTGGGCGCCGCCATCTTTGAGGGTGGGGGCAGTCAATTAGCATATTCCCTCCTTATTGGCTGTGGGTGCCGCCATCTTTGCGATGGTATGAGGGTCAATTAGCATATCCCCTCTTTATTAGATAGGATTAGGCATCATATATTACAGCTATTGAAAGAAAGTAAATTCAGGGTATTTTAAAAACTAAGCTGAATTTCATAATACCTGTTCACTTGCTATGGACTGAATAAAATAAGATAAAGACATGGGTTATTTTCAATGTAGCTACTCAATGTTAGTTTCATTTCCAACTTTTCCATTGCACATATACTGAATTGGAATCAATTGCTGCCACACAGTGATTACATAGCACTTTATATCTTTATTGTGGTATTGATCTTACTTTCTCTGCTTTATCTCATAGTTGCTACCTTGTCTCTTTCAGAGTCTTACTCATCTTTTATCCTTCCTTAGAGCTTAGCAGTGCCTTGCATATTATACTCAATGATTTTTTTGTTGAATTGAATTGAAATTGATTGAGTCATGATATATGAATGAAATCATTTCACTGACTAATACACAATTATTAGCCTAAGCAAAAAAAAAAAATGTTTTAGAAGGTGAATTTAAACAGGGTCAAGTTTAATTCTTAAAATCCCCTTTGGACAAAATGACATGATTATTTTCTGTGTAGCCATTGGGTAGTCATAAGCAAGTTATGTTGTTATAATCCTTCTAATATAAAAAAAGACAAATATTTAATTACAAGATTCTAAAATATGAATTAAAAATTCATAATGGTGATGGGAAAAATAATAAAGTAAAATAAAGGGAAAATGTTATGTTAACATAAAAAATTAATTCATTTTCTATTTTTATTTCAGGTTCTTTTTAAATAATGGATTTTAGTGCCTAATAAGTTTTATAATATAATATAATACACCAGAAACAAAGCCTTCAAATGTGATTTGACTTCTGCTTCCTGGACATGTTTCCTGGGAATGAATAATAAAACTACTGTAAGCAGCTGTATCATCAGAACAAGAACATTACTGAGTCTAAGATATCTCTGCCAGGATAACTAAATAAATTCAGTGGCGAGAGAAAATTCTTGCAATTACTTCATTAGTAGGGATAAATAACTTACTTGTTAATTTCATAACAAAATTCTCATTTCTAATCATAGTGTTTTGATTGTGCCCATTGGTGGAATTTTATGATATCTTAATGTATTAACTTTAAAAATATACTAAACGGGGGTCAGGATTTACACTTATAATATTTTTATATTATTTGTTTTCTTATATTTTCATTTATATAACTTATATTTAAATAATATTATCGAAAACATAAATTATATAACAAAAATTCATTACAGAAAATTAGAATATGATAATTTACCAATTTAATGTCTCAGTGGAGGATATTGAATTTTAATGTCACTTCTAGAATTTAATTGCTTAGTTCTCTATTTTTGCCTGTTCAAAGTCAAACAAATTGGGTAGAAATATAGATTATTGCAGTCAGATACATTTGGGTTTGAATTCTATTTCTGCTGTGTGATTAATGGCAAGTAATATCTTCACTATCCCTCCTGGC